TTTATTTATTTTATTTTATTTTATTATTTTATTTTATTTTATTTTATTTTATTTTATTTATTTTATTTTATTTTATTTTATTTATTTTTTGATTGAGGCACCTGGGTGGCTCAGTCATTAAGCGTCTGCCTTTGGCTCAGGTCATGATCCCAGGGTCCTGGGATCGAGTCCCGCGTCGCGCTCACTGTTCCGCGGGAAGCCTGCTTCTCCCTCTCCCACTCCCCCTGCTTGTGTTCCCTCTCTTCGCTGTGTCTCTGTCAAATAAATAAAATCTTTAAAAAAAGAAAGATGCCCAACGACTCAGCCCCCCAGGCACCCCAGGCCAGCTCCTCTGGAGGTTCCCGGGAGAATCTGTTTCTCTGCCGTGTCCAGCTTCAAGGGGCCCCTTCCTCCACGTTGAAGCCCGCAACATGCCTTCTGCCCACCTCCCTGAGTCTGACCCCGTCTCCCTCTTAAGGTCCCTCGAGGCTGGGTCAGGCCACCAGATCATCCAAGAAAATCTCCCGTCACGACACCTATAACTGACCTGCAAATTCCCTTCTGCCACATGGCATGACACCTGCACAGGCCCCAGGGGATTTGGGGGGGAAAATCTTGGAGGGTCACGTTCTGCCCGCCACGTGGGCATTGAGACAAGCGTGTCTTAGGGACATCTTTAGGATGTTAGCTGAGCACAGGGACATCCCACAGCATCTCATACTGTGTTATTTGTAACTTTTAAGTTTCTACATTAAAGGAAAAGTCAATTTTTTAAAAAATTTATTAATTTATTTTGGAGAGAAAAAGAGGGTCAGAGTGAGGGGAGGGGCAGAGGGAGAGAGAGAGAGAGAATCCCCAAGCGGACTCTGCTGAGTGTGGAGCCCCGTGCAGGGCTCGATCCCACGACCCCGAGATCATGACCTGAGCCACATTCAAGAGTCGGACACTCAACCGACTGAGCCACGTGGGCGCCCCAAGGAAAAGTGAATTTTTCTTTATGGGGTCAGATCTGTCTGTCGTTTCGTTCATAGCTTTTGCGTTGGGGAGCATGCTCAGAGAGACATACCCATGTGTTCCAACAGAACTGTACGGTTTCATCGTGCGTGAAAATCTGTAAACAGTCTGGGATACACTGGACGGGACATAGGACACAGGAATCTCACCTGATTTCCACTGTTAGCCGCATGCCGGGTGGACCCTTTTGTCCCCTGACTGGGATGCTTCTTTAGAGTACCTGAAATTGGTAGAATTGTGTCCATCTCTGAACGCAGTATTGCGATCTGTTGATGAGTGGATTCTGCAACAGCGTGAGTCTGACTGACGTGGCAGGTTTATTTATTTATATGGCACGTCCATATACAACACATGTGTGTTAGCCCCTCATAGTAAAAGTCCCCCTTTCTTACTCTTCTTTTCAGAGGTTTCTGGGAAACCTTAAAGTTTTTCAGTGTGGATGCGTCTGGGGGTGCCTCGCCCAGTTCAGGAGCATGTCCCGGGAGGGGTGAGGGTGCACTTTGCACAGGGCCGTCCCCACAGTGACCTCTAGTTTTCCCCACCAGGGACATGCCTGGGGTCACGTGGCTTCTCCTCTGTGTCTGTGTCTCCTCTTCTGTCCCCATAAGGACACCTGTCATGGGATTTAGGGCCCCCCTGGTCCTGGATGACTCTCTATGCACTCCGCCGCCGGCGGCAGGTTCCGGGTGGTTGTGCGTTTTGGGCGACGACCCACGCCTGGTGCTGTGTGTGTTCTCCACGTGAGCTCGGAGCACGCAGCGCAGGAAGAGGCTCCCGGAAAAATGTCCCCCGCGTTTGCTTGCAGGAAGCCACGACACCATGACCTACTGCTTGAACAAGAAATCGCCCATCTCCCAGACCCAGTCCCGGCTGCTGCAGCTTCTGGGCAAGGTCCTGCCATGTGTCACCCGCCCCGTGGTGCTCCGGTGGTCCACCACCCAGGTACGGGTCAGCAGCGGGGGTGACCAGCGTCATCCGGCTGGGGAGGCGCCCTGATCCCTGTGTGTCGGGGAGTGGAATGGAAAACAGACCCCAGACCAACCCAGCAGACATACACGACCGCCCACTGCCCAGTTGTGAAGACGAGGGGCTCTGCAGTTTGGAGGCTGATGGGGCGGGAGGCCAGCGTCTTCAGCCTCCAGGTTACATTTAAGAGCCCGTCAGTCCTGGGAAAACACCCCTGAGCTGTGCAACTGTCCAGACGTCTGTTTGGAGATTTACACGCCTGTGAAAAAGATGAGAGAGAACCGCAGTGACCGGGGTCTGCAGGGAATACGCAAGGAAAGGCAGGGAGGGGGTGTGTGCAGGGAAAGGCAAGGAGGGGGTGTGTGCAGGGAAATGCAGGGAGGGGGTGTGTGCAGGGAAAGGCAGGGAGGGGTGTGTGCAGGGTTGTGCAGGGAGGGGGTGTGTGCAGGGAAAGGCAGGGAGGGGGTGTGCAGGGAGGGGTGTGCAGGGAATGTGCAGGGAGTCTGTGGTCCTGTTCCTCAGGTGCAGGACAGCACAGAACCTGTTCTCTCTGTTCGGGTTTTCTCCATCCTCCCTGCCCAGTGCTTATCTCCCCGGAACAGCGGTCCTCACAGGATGGGGCGTGGCGTAGAGAGGAGCTGGGGTGACCAGGGGTGTCCTCACCCAGGACCAGGTGGGGTGGTGGTGCCTGGTGTGCAGAGGCGGGTCAGGGTGACCCGGGGCATCCTTCTGGGGGGGCGTGCAGAGGAAGCTCAGGGGGACCCGGGGTCTCCTCCCGGGGACGTGCACCTGGCTGTAGGGTTGACACCTTCACAGCCTGAGGCAGTAAGCGGGGGAGGGGTGCCAGCTGGGGCCCAGCTGGGGGCGGCAACGTGGGGGTCACCTGGGGAGCAGCCCATCCCTCACTTCCGCCTGGGGGAGGGCTCAGGAGTCGGCGTTTTCGGGTTGCAGGCTCTCGTGCTCTGGAGTCTCTCCCCCAGTGGAGGCCACCCTCCGCTCCCAGGGCTCTGACCTTTGTAATTGCTCGGCTCTAGGAATTTCCATCAGGACGTTAATCCTACAGGACCTGCGGGTCTGGAATGCGGAGAAACCACATTCCCGACGTGAGGTGCCTGTTGGGATTCATCCCAGAGCCCTGTGGGAGGGGTAGGTGCGTTCATTGTGGCCCTAGAGACGCTGCGGTTCTGGGGTCCCCCGGTGCTGGGGTCCCATGGTGCGGGGGTCCCCCGGTGCTGGGGTCCTGTAGTGCTGGGGTCCCGTGGTGCTGGGGTCCTGGGGTCCCGCGGTGCTGGGGTCCCGCGGTGGTGGGGTCCCTGGGTGCTGGGGTCCCGCGGTGCTGGGGTCCTGCGGTGCTGGGGCCGCATGGTGCTGGGGTCCTGGGGTCCCGCGGTGGTGGGGTCCCCGGGTGCTGGGGTCCCGTGGTGCTGGGGTCCTGGGGTCCTGCGGTGCTGGGGTCCCACGGTGCTGGGGTCCCGTGGTGGTGGGGTCCCCGGGTGCTGGGGTCCTGCGGTGCTGGGGTCCCACAGTGCTGGGGTCCCCCGGTGCTGGGGTCCCATGGTGTTGGGGTCCCGTGGTGCTGGGGTCCCCCGGTGCTGGGGTCCTGGGGCCCCGTGGTGCTGGGGTCCTGGGGTCCTGTGGTGCTGGGGCCCCATGTTGCTGGGGTCCTGGGGTCCCACGGTGGTGGGGTCCTCGGGTGCTGGGGTCCCGTGGTGCTGGGGTCCCGTGGTGCTGGGGTCCCCTGGTGCTGGGGTCCTGGGGCCCCACGGTGCTGGGGTCCCGTGGTGCTGGGGTCCTGGGGTCCCACGGTGGGGGGGGTCCCCGGGTGCTGGGGTCCCCCGGTGGTGGGGTCCTGCAGTGCTGGGGTCCTGGGGCCCCGTGGTGCTGGGACACCATTATGGTGTGTCCCATGAGGTCTATGGTGTGTATGTGGGGTGTGTGTTGGACGCTGCTGAAAGGGCTAGATCCTTCAGGGAATCCCGTGCAGGAAATAACCAGCCACGCTTGCACACCAGTACCAGACACAGGGGTGAGTGGAACCCCATCACGGTGCGTCCCCACACTGGGAAATGGTGCATACACTGGGTCATTTTCTACAGAATGTACAATGTCAGAAGCTGCTGAGGATTCTGGGGAAGACTGGATGGGGGAGGGGGCATAATTGAAATTAAATTTTGCAGCACACACACTGAGGGGCAAACCGGGAGGAACGCATCCTGCTGGTCAGGGACCTCTCTGCCGGGGTTGGGGGGCTGTAAGTGTGTATCCCCAGATCTCTCATCCTGCTGGTCAGAGACCTCTCTGCTGGGGGCGGGGGGTGGGTGTGTAAGTTTGTATCCCCAGATCTCTCATCCTG